TTTTAGAGATTTATAATTCTTCCGTTTTATTGGATGGAATTTCAATGAATTGAAACCTAGTCCCCCCTTTTTTTTTCAAAGCGGCGCCCTTTTCACTGGGATTTATAATGCATTCTATTTTATGCAAGTGTGGTAGTTTGATCGCGTTATTTCTTTATTTCTATCATTTCCGGAATATGAGTGTGTGACTTGTTATAATGGATCCTATTCATAGTCCATAAAATTTGGTTATCTTACTTACTAGAGATGATTTTCTTCGTCAGATATAGATTCGAGTATCTGAAACACGAGATCTATTTGAACTATGATTCAGACTTCCTATTCAGACCTCGTGCCCGGGTTCCAAAAAAATTTAGAAACTAAGAAGGTTTGATTATTTAAAACCTTATGGATGACCAAAATAAAAATTCCATCTATTTAGTATGGTTAAAGTTAATTTAAAAAGGTTCTTACTCAGGGAATCCTTGATTACGTTTCAAATTTTTTCATCGTGGTTCTAAATAGGAATCTTAGGTTTTTATTCGATTTATAGGGTCTTAACAAGGTAATTCCTATCCGATCAAATAAACAAAACAAATAAAAAAAGAATCATTCCAGAAAAAAAGATAGGTAAAGAGAAGCTTCAAAAAGCCCGTCAAAATAAAAATAAAGACAACTGAGCTAACTTGATATTTTTTTATTAGTGCCAAAAAAATCAATAAAAAATAATAAATTTCGCATTTTATTGAATATATAATAAATGTGTTGGTCTGGCCAGCGCAGTGAGTATTTGGACATTTTTGGTTGAGCTGTACGAGATGAAAGTCTCACATACGGTTCTAAGGGGGGGAAATTAGCCTATCTCAATAAAGTCTATGATTGGTTCGAAGAACGTCTGGAGATTCAGGCGATTGCAGATGATATAACTAGTAAATATGTTCCTCCACATGTCAATATTTTTTATTGTTTAGGAGGAATTACGCTTACGTGTTTTTTAGTACAAGTAGCTACCGGGTTTGCTATGACTTTTTACTATCGTCCGACCCTTACAGAGGCGTTTGCTTCTGTTCAATACATAATGACTGAAGCGAACTTTGGTTGGTTAATCCGATCGGTTCATCGATGGTCAGCAAGTATGATGGTATTGATGATGATTCTGCATGTATTTCGTGTGTATCTGACAGGTGGGTTTAAAAAACCTCGTGAATTAACTTGGGTTACAGGTGTAATTTTAGCTGTATTGACAACATCTTTTGGCGTAACTGGTTATTCGTTACCTCGGGACCAAATAGGTTATTGGGCAGTGAAAATTGTAACAGGCGTACCCGAAGCTATTCCTGTAATAGGATCACCTTTAGTAGAATTTTTACGCGGAAGCGCTAGTGTGGGTCAATCCACCTTGACTCGTTTTTATAGTTTACACACTTTTGTCTTGCCTCTTATTACTACCGTATTTATGTTAATGCACTTTTCAATGATACGTAAACAGGGTATTTCTGGTCCTTTATAAATCAAAATAAAAATAGATCCTAAATAATCAAATTTGTGTTATATGTTATTTATCACTTGGAGGAGGGGTACTAGTATTTCATTGCTACAAAAAAATCCATTCTTTAAAATAATAAGACATGGTTTTGGATATTTATCTTCACCCTTCCTATATTCTTTGTTTTACATGAATACACAAATAGGCGAGGGGAATTCTTTGAAGTTGAAGATCAATTTTACGATAAAATGGATTATGGGAGTGTGCGACCTGAACTATTGATTGGTCTATGTAGATATAAGCCTACCACATTTGAATTATCATCACCCAAATGTGTCTTTGTTCCAATTGGCGCATAAGCCTTATGTGAGGGATAAGCTGGTTCCCTTAAAGATAATTTTTTCTATGATCATATAAAAATCATGTTATACATAAGTAGGCTCCGTAAAATCCAATATTGAATCTAAAAAGATCCTAGAAACTTTTTATTTTTATTTAGCGTTTTAAACGCTAATATATAATCTGTAAATGGAGTTATTTCCTCTCCATTGGCCCGATTTCGATAATACTATCGGAGTGAAACAAGAGATCTAACGAAGAAAAAGAAAAGAAACTGGACTTTTTTTTAGTAACAAGTAAACCTTTTTGCATATCTGAAAATATGAAAATTTTTTGAAAATAGTTTCAGATCAATACGCATTCTAAGGTTGGAGACGACCCAAAAAGCACTTGATCCTATCAGAAAATGAAGCCTACTTGGGTCTTGAGTAGTCAGGCATAAGCAAATAATAAAAAAATGTAATTTTTTGACTAGAGAAGGTTCACTTGAGAAAAACAAATTTTTTCTTTTACATTGAACTATTCCTATCTCAAAGATTATATTTTCTGTATAAATGAATATAAATACTCTTATAGAAATGTATTTCTTCATTAATTATAGATTCTTTGTTAATTATTTGTTTGAGTCTTGCTCGAGCTGGATGATTAAAAATTATCATGTCCGGTTCCCTCGGGGGATGGATCTCTAAGACTTCACCTATCCCAATAATAAAAAAACCTGACTTGAATGATCCTGTATTAAGAGCTAAATTGGCAAAAGGTATGGGTCATAATTATTACGGGGAACCCGCATGGCCCAATGATCTTTTATATATTTTTCCAGTAGTTATTCTTGGTACTATTGCATGTAATGTAGGTTTAGCAGTTCTAGAACCATCAATGATTGGTGAACCCGCAAATCCCTTTGCAACCCCGTTAGAAATATTACCTGAATGGTATTTTTTTCCTGTATTTCAAATACTTCGTACCGTGCCTAATAAAATATTAGGTGTTCTTTTAATGGTTTCAGTACCTACGGGATTATTAACAATCCCTTTTTTAGAGAATGTTAATAAATTCCAAAACCCATTTCGTCGTCCAGTAGCAACCACTGTGTTTTTTGATTGGTACCGGATGTGACCTTTTGGTTGGGCATTGGTGCAACATTACCTATTGAGAAATCTCTCACTTTAGGTCTTTTTTAAATTTGTTTTGTGGAGTTTTAATTCAATTTTAAAAAACCAAAGCTTGTGTATCTAGGGAAGCGTTTCTTCAAAGTTCTTCCTAGATACACCTAAATTCATATTCATGAATTTTTCGATTCCTTTTTGATATTTTTTAATATTTCGTATTTTGAATATGAAACTCTTAATTCATAGTGATGAAAATAAAATGATCAAATTCTAGACTAAAAAATATTTTATAAAAAGTTTTTTTATTAATTTATTAATTAAACCGAAGTTTCTTATAAATAAAGTACAAAATATTTTCCTAGAATCCCCAATATGTTTTTTATATCTTCTAGTTGAAAATGTTCTATTTTTAAAAGATATTCTTGTTTGTGATTAAAAAGATCAAATAATGTAAATATATTTGACTTTTTCAAGCAATTATATATCTTGGGAGGGAATTCTAATTGGTCAATAAAAATTAATTTCAATGAAAGTTTCTTTTTTTTTTTTATAAGTTTAGTCACTTTATTATAAAAGATAAGGGAGGATAGGGGAATTTTGTGTTCCGCATCCGCTAAATATAAGCTTTCTTCTTCCATATGGAAAAAAAGGAATAAAGAAATCAATCAAGATTCGGGCGGCTTCATGAAGTGCTTCTTTTGGTGTTAAACTCCCATTTGTCCATATTTCCAAAAAAAGTATCTCTTGTTTTTCATTCCCATAAGAATGAATACTATGATTCGCATTTTGAACCGGCATGAATAGAGCATCTATAGGATAAATTCCATCGTCAAAGTGAAGGTCCGCTTTGTTGAAATATCCGCGATTTCTCTCTATTTTTAATCCAATAAAAAAATCAATAGGTTCTGTCAACCAAGCTATATGTTGTGTGTTATCAACGATTTGTACATGAGGGGGTAATATTATATCTTGGGCAGTTACATGTCGAGGTCCCTTGATACAAATAGACGCATCACAAGTTCCATATTGATTGCTCCTCAATACAATTTCTTTCAAATTCATTAAAATCTCATGTATCGATTCTTGAATCCCGCCTATGGTAGAATACTCATGCGAGGCTTTCTCAGATTTTACACGTGTGATACATGTCCCTTCTATTTCTCCCAGTAAAGCTCTTCGCATCGCAATTCCTATTGTATCGGCTTGACCTTTTATAAGTGGAGATAGGATAAAGCGGCCATAAAAAAGGCGTTTACTGTCTATTCTTGATTCAACACATTTCCACTGTAGTGTCCGAGTAGATACTGCTACTTTCTCTCGAACCATAAAAATTTTGATTTAGTATATTAGTGAATCTTCTATTTCTCTTGATATAGGTTCACTTTTGATTTCTACACACGTCGTTTTTTTGGGGGGTCTACAGCCATTGTGTGGCATAGGGGTTATATCCCTTATAAAAGTTAATAGTAGACCGCTTCTATGAATAGCTCGTAATGCTGCATCTCTTCCGAGACCGGGACCTTTTATAAATACTTCAGCTCGTAGCATACCTCGATTCATTACTTTACGAAGAGCATTTATTACCGCGGTTTGAGCAGCAAAAGGTGTTCCTCTTCTGGTTCCTTTGAATCCAGAAGTACCGGCAGAGGACCAAGAAACTACCCGTCCCTGTACATCTGTAATAGTCACTATGGTATTATGGAAACTGGCTTGAACATGAATTACTCCTTTTGGTATTCTACGTGCATTCTGACGTGAACCACTACGTCCGCCCTTTCTACGCGAACTAATTTTCGATATATATTTTACCATTAAGCATTTTTTAAATCTGAGTCAGCGATACACTATATGGATATATCCATTTCACAATTCTTTCATTTATAGAATTGGTTTAGTTACTAAGTTAAGTTGCGAAGTCTTATTATCCCTGTCGTTGTTTATGTCTGGGATTGGAACATATTACTATAAGTCGTCCCCTTCTCCGTATTAATCGACATCTGTCACAAATTTTACGAACAGAAGCTCTTATTTTCATATAAAGACTCCTTACATTTCTTTTAAATTTACTTTAGAGTTTCGGTTTTATTGGAAGATTCTAATAAATACATTCATTTTTTTCTATTTTAAATTTATAATTTTGTTATTCTTGCTAAATGAATAGCTAAGTTGAGAAACGACTCCTTTGAATCATTGTTGTGTTGCAAAAGATTCATCGACTTGTTCTGAAGTAAACTAAAAAAGGATTTAGCCTATTTTCACAAACAGAACTTAAAAAAAAAAAAAGAAAGTGATTTTTGTTCTTTATTGTGATCTTTAAAATATTACCATATATAACACAAAATTTCCCCCCCGATTCTTTGCAGTCGGGCTTCTCGGTCTGTCATTATACCACGTGAAGTAGAAAGAATTACAACCCCCATCCCGCCTAAAATTTTAGGTATTTTTTTTAGACGTAGAATACATTCGTAGACCGGGTCGACTTATCCGTTTTAAATTTAGAATATTGCTAAAGGTCCTTTTTTTAGTCTTGATATGTTGCAGAGTTAAAACTAAAAAATTCTTGTTGTTTTCTCGATGTTTTCTCACACTTTCAATAAAACCTTCTTTTAAAAGGAGTTTTACAATCTTTTCGTTAATATTACTGGATGGGATTCGAACCATTCTTTTTCGATCCATATCAGCATTCCGTATAGAAGTTATTATCTCAGCAATAGTGTCCCTACCCATGATAAACTCTAATTATGGGACTCAAAAATTTTATATTCTCAACGTGTTTTTTTTATTGTCTATGGATTATTGTGTTTATCTTACTTTAATTTTAATCTTAAAATTATATACGTGAGACAGATTCTACTCCATTTTTTTTTTTGAATTTTTTTTATAATACCTCAGGAGCTAATGAAACTATTTTAGTAAAATTTAATTGTCTCAACTCCCGGGGGATTGGACCAAAAATTCTGGTCCCTTTTGGATTTCCTTCTTTATCAATAACAACTGCGGCATTATCATCATATCGTATTATTATCCCGTTGCCGCGTTTTAGTTCTTTACAGGTACGCACGATTACGGCTCTAACGACTTCAGATCTTTGTAGAGGCATATTAGGTACAGCTTCTTTGATAACAGCAACAATAATGTCACCAATATAAGCATATCGACGATTGCTAGCTCCTATTATTCGAATACACATCAATTTTCGAGCCCCGCTGTTATCTGCTACATTTAAAAGGGTTTGGGATTGAATCATAGCATTTTTTTTTATTCTTTTCTTTCACAATGCAAAGGGCGAAGAAAAAAAGAAATATTTTTTGTCCACAAACATAAAACGAAACTTATTTTTTTGTTTTTGTTTCATTCTTAAGATTCTTTGGGGTAGTTTTAGAGTGATATTTTCTATTCTATCTCCGAAATAATGAATTGAGTTCGTATCGGCATTTTCGATGCTGCTATTGAAATAGCTTTTCTGGCAATATTTTTTGTTACTCCACCCATTTCAAAAAGGATCCGACCGGGTTTAACAACAGCAACCCAATATTCAGGGGATCCTTTTCCTGAACCCATACGTGTTTCTGCGGGTCGTACAGTAACTGGTTTATCAGGAAATATACGTACCCATATTTTTCCTCCACGACGTGCATTTCGTGTCATT